AAAAAAAAAATATGCTTTTTCCTAAAGTTAGAAGCAAAAAAACAGTTATTTTGAATAATTTAATAAACAGCAGAAAAAAAAAGACTGAAATTGATTAGACTTATGTTTAGGAAAGTGTTCAAGTCAATAGAATCTAGAAAAAAAAAAAACCATGCAGAACAGCACTACGGCCACTGCTCAATGGGAGGATAATTTTACTGGCTTTAACGAACCGACGGCAGCAACTGTTGAGGATTCTTGCAGTTATTACAAAGATCTATTTACTCGGGTGGATCGGTACTTCAGAGATGAAGCCGTACTGCCCAACAGCCAGTATGCACCTGCTAAGGTTAGTTCAGTCTAATAAGTCTTCAACAATTTTCAATCTTCTTTTTCGCCTCTTTTCTATATCAGCTATAATACTCGATTATAAAGCATAGATTAAGTCCAAAAAAATTTATTGCCTAACCAAAATGTATGTAGATTTAACCATAGACGTTCACTTAAAAACAATGGCATCTGAAAAAAATTGATAACAGCATCGCTTACAACTATATATCATTGCTGAAACTTTTTTTTTTTTTTTTAAGAAAAGGTTTACAGTACGATTGAATTACTGTAAATTTGAATTACTGTAATTATTAAATTACTTTTTTTTCTTTTGAACGATTTGATGACACCAAAACGATATAAAGCGGAAAAAAGACTTTAAAAAAACATAAATTTAACAGTATAACCAAAAAACAGTTGTTTAATAAAAATTTTTTTTTTCTTCTGCTGCTTCAGTTGATATATAAGCTTTTCTATACAAATTGGTAGCTTTAGCAGATGACATAAATTTAGCATCAGCAATAAAAACAAGAAGTTGGAAAAGAATAGAAGTTAATTTTTTAAGTTTTGCTAAATTTAGTTTTGCACTGTTTAGTTTGTGGACAATTCAATTGTAGACAACTGTTTTGCTCTCATTCTGATAATTGATGTTAATTTTGGTCATAGTTAATTGTTTTAAAAGAAAATTTAAAAGAAAATTCTTTTGTAAACTCTTTCAAACGTTTATTATACATTAGTTAATTGAATGTAGAAAAAAAAGTGCTTTTTTAAGTTTAGAAAACTGAAGCGTTAACTGTTTATCAGACAAAATTTGTACGGCTTCGCTAACTTATTGTTTCCTTTTTCGACAATGTAACAGTCAAAACTATGACCACTTACGTTACTGTATCACTTATAAATTGGTTTGCTGGTAGTATGTTAGATAAAAACACTAAACTTAGACAAACTTTTTTTGAGCTTTAGCAGTTATGTTTATCTGTGGTAACACTGTTGTAACCAAAGATTTACATCTAAACGAAACATACAGTTTACAGGCACGAATAAAATTTCAAATGTGACAGAATAATGTGAAAGATAGAAAAATAAGCTAAAACTTACTTTATTCAACTTGCACTTATCTTACTTATTAAGAGCATCTTTTTCAGCTTGGTCTATTCATTACAATCGCCTATATTGTGGTTATTGTTTTTGGTACCTGTGGTAATTTCTTAACAATTTGGGCTGTTGCTCGGTATCCACAGATGCGTACAACAAGAAATTTTTTTATTCTTAATTTAGCTTTATCCGACTTTTTTGTATGTATTATAACAGCACCTATAACTTTGTACACTGTAAGTAATCAATTTGGTTTTTTTTTTCAATAATTCTGTTTATCTACTACTGTAATACTTACCGTCAGAAATAATTTTTGATACAAATGTTTGTTTTCAATTCCGTGAAATTGATTATTTCATTTATTTTTCTTTTAAAAAGCTTCTAAAAAATTTTAAACTGTAAGTAAAATAAAAGAACAGTTGTATAAATTAATTGACTGTTCAA